GGGAGGAGCGGGGAGAATGGATGACCTGGCCCGTGTCTTTGCAGAGCTCATCTCTTCTTCCCCCGAACCCCCATGTGTCTGGAAGCAGCTTGCCCCTTCCTGCCCGCACAGTGTCGAAAGGCAGCTAACACTTCCAGGTTGCTGCTGGCCATTGACATAACCCAGTGTCCTCCTGTCCCCTGGCTACAGCGCGGGCAGGAAGGGGTTAAGCCCTAAGGATGCTTTGTGCACCTGGGCCCAGGGAACCTGACTGCAGGGGCTTCAGCGAACCTGGCCAGAGAGACGTGGCTCAGCAGGGGAGGGTGCCTAGGGGACGGAGCAGCCCTGCACTCCCTGGGGGCAGGACGCAGGTTGGGGTGTGTGTGTGAAGAGGGTACTAAGCCCCTGCCCCAGGGGCTGCTGTGGAGCTTGCAGGTTCTGGGCATGAACAGGCTGGAAATCACTTACCCCTCCCCCCCCCACTACTGCAGAGCTTAGCTGAGGGGTGGAGAGGCATCCCTGTGCCAATGCTGTGTGGGGCTTTGGCACAGGCAGGGCTTGGCTCCTCCTGGCGAGTACCCTGGGCCAGAGGGTCTTTGGCTTTCCCGGGGTGCCGGCGCAGCCAGAGTCAGTAGGGGAAGGAAGGAGCCTGCCGGCCAGGCTGTTGGTGAGATGAATATGCTCCGACCAGGCACTGGTTCTCTGCACAGTACTGTGAGCGGGACGTGCTCCACTGGGGGAGGGAGGTATGAAGGAGCAGCGGGGTTGGGAGGAATTGTGAAGGGGCAAAGCAAGGAGAGGACAGTGAGAGGGGGAGCACGTAAAGGGCTGATGGGTGGGCAGCAGAGACAACACATAACCGGCCGCCATCTGGTGCCTCCCCATGCTCACCAGCCACTGCAGCTCGCAGCACACAGCCAGTGCAAGCTGGAAATGGGATGGGGCCCTGCTGGCCGAGAGCTGGCATGCAGCAGAGGCTGCGCTGATAGACCAGTGGGGGAGCGGCCGGCCCCACGCACTGCATCTTCACCCCGCCACCAGCCTGTCACACCCTTCCATCATCGGCCACTGGACTCTTCCACGCACTGCTGGTGGACGGGTGGCTGGCAAGCAGGATCCAGCCAGCAGCAGGACCCACCAGTACTGATGCGGGGATGAAGGAAGACAGAAAATACAGGACAATTTGCCTGTTTTTAAGAAAAAGTCGGTACACTTGCAGGAGGGCTTAAATACAGGACTGTCCCTTTATAAACATGACATTTGGTCACCCTACACTGAACAGTTACATCCCAGTGCATGTGTTACTTTTGATGTGTTTATTTGATCACAGGTAGTCGCCATTGATGTGGATATGGCCTTTTTTGAACCTAAAATGAGGGACATCCTTGAACAGAATTGCACAGAAGATGAAGACTGTAATTTTTTCGATTGCTTTTCGAAGTGTGACCTGACAATCAGAAAATGTGGAGCAGAGAGGGCCAACAACAACCTGCAAGTGAGTAGCTACAGATTTATTATGTGTACATTTCCTTTTTAAAAAGACCAGTCAGAGGCAGCTAAAGAATAAAACATATGGCATGAACTAGAGCTGGGCGAGGTCTAGACAAGTATGTTTGATGTACATTCATCAAACCCAGTTTTCAAAAGTGGCTGCCTAAGTTACATGTATAAACCCATCTCTGTGCGTGCAAGCTGGCCCTAACATTCACCATTCCCTTTCTGCATGTGTAATGTCTACCTGCATGTTAGAAATGTGGGATTTATGGGCCCAGTTCTCTACAAATCTAAGCTGTGCACAGATCTAGTAGGGAGGGGGAGGCTCCAGGGCTCCAACTTCTTGATTCAAGGGCAGCTGGCCCTGGAGCAAGGCGTTCTGCTCTAACTTACCCTGCTGACAACGCCAGCAGAGGATCAGGGGTAGCAGAGCTCAGCTGTGCTACATTCTTCCTGCCTGCTTTTCCCTTGTTGTGCTTGGAATGCAGCAGTGGGTGAAGTAACAGGGAGAATTCTCCACTGGGAATCTTTGGCTTGTTCAGGCCACTGCTCTTTATAACAGAACAAAGCAGCCTTGGAGAATCTAGGCCTTGGTCTCCACTTTAGGCAGCGTCTACTGGAAACTGGGCTGATTGTGGGCAGAGAAAAATTATTTATCTGCACAGTTTGTTTTGAAAGATAAGAGGAACTATGATGGGAGCTACAGCATGTAGTGGTCTTGTACATTGTCGGTGCTCAATAACTAATAATAACAGAGGCTAGGTCTACACTACCCGCCTGAATCGGCGGGTAGAAATCGATCTCTCGGAGATCGAATTATTGCGTCTCGTCGGGATGCGACAATCGATCCTCGAATCGACGCTCTTACTCCACCAGCGGAGGTGGGAGTAAGCGCCGTCGACGGGGAGCCGCGGAGGTCGATTTTGCCGCCGTCCTCACAGCGGGGTAAATCGGCTCCGATAGGTCGAATTCAGCTACGCTATTCGTGTAGTTGAATTTGCGTATCTTAAATCGACCCCCTCCTGTAGTGAAGACCTGCCTAGAGGCAAAATGGTAATACAAGACACCAATAAAGGCAGTCCCTATCCTGTGGAGTTTAGCAATCCCTGTTCAGTTTGCTATTAGGTACAAGTGAAATGAGTTAGGTGTCCTCCACCTGATCCTTAGTGGACATTTGCCCATATCTTACATGACAAATCTACCAAATACAGCTCAGCTACACAGGGAGGCCCATGCTGGTAATGGATAGGTACAGTCAATGAGGGTTGAGTAGAATGGCCAGGGACAAGCTTGTAAAGTGCCTCGTGCACTATGCTTTGCTCTTATCAGTGTTAGAGACATTTTGAACTCAGCTGAAGCAATAGCTTGTACAGTTTACAATCACCAAGAGGCACAAGTGTCTTATTTGCAGCTCTGGAAAGACAATCTGCTCTTTTACCTTTTCACAGGTCATCTGTGACAAAATATTCCGTCACTGGTTTTCTCCAAATCTCAGGGGACACACAATTTCCTTCCCTCTGCAGTTGCAGTTGCAAAAGGCTGTTCATGAATGTGCCAAACCAGAGCCCAAGGACTTGACACAACACCAGCAAACGTCTCTGCATTCTCTGTCTGAGTTATACCATTTGCTGCAAGCCAGTCAAAGAGAGCTTCAAAAAGCAGATGGTTAGCCTGGTGAAAACCAATGGTAACGATGATATATAATAATCATCATTGCCAGCAATCTCTCTCTCTCTCTCTCTCTCTCTCTCTCTCTCTCTCTCTCTCTCTCTCTCTCTCTCTCTCCCCCCCCCC